TATGGTGATAGTTACTATAGGACAAGAACATCTCTATGGGCAGATTCCAATTTATGTGAGAATTAATTATATGCGGTTACTGTAGTGAGATAAAATTCAGTTTAATTTGACATCATTTTCATATTGCTCCAAGGTTTCCCCCAAAAGTACCCCGTGCCCCTCATTGGGGCGATGGCTCCCAGGTTGGGAACCCCTAATCTAATGGGATGACATGCACTTTCCACTTACTAACTTCACAACCAAATCATTTCTTATAATACCGCTTAAGATGTGCTAATGCTATCTGACATTTCTATTCCATTCTAACAGTCACCCTTAATCTTATACGACATTGTGTCATACTCTATCACCTAACTATCACCGAAACCGTCGCGCGTTGGCCCATCCCCTCACTGCATCTGTGATCTATCCCTATGTATTTATCTATCTTACGCTACATTAAATCCCCCTACGCTGCCCTAAGCACCAAACCTCCCCCACCGCGCAGCCCACTCCAACTCCGAAGCCGTCGCGCGCTGGCCCATTCCCTCGCTGCATCTACCTGTCATCTGTCCGTTACCCACCTCCTTAATCCAACTTGCGCTACATTAGATCGCACTGCACACCCTTCAACGGCTTCCTTTGCCCATCCACGCCCCCACCCCAACGCCGACCCGTGGCGCGCGGGCCCATTCCCCCGCGCCATCTCATCACAAACCGCCACTCACGCCCAACGAGGCCCTTCATCCGGGTGGAGCCATCTAACAATCCTCGCCGTCATCACCACCTTTTTACGACGCTGACAGAGGATTCGGTCTTCTCTTTCTTGGTCATTAACACTCTTGACTCGCGCTGATTCTTTCTTTTTTTCTTTTTTTTTTCCCCCAAGCAGTATTAGATTCCCTTTAATAACGCTCTCTGAGAGTTGCTCCTTTCTTGTATTAATATTTATTTACTTACAAAATTCTATATTTTTCTCTTTTTTTTCCCAAAGCAGTGTTAGATCCTCTTTAATAACGCTCTGTGAGATTCGCTCCTTCCTTTTACTCATATGTACTTAGTTATTTTTGTCTTATTTCGTTTCTTCCCTCTTACCCACGACGAAAGAAACAAACGTCATGGTTCCCTGTGGCGTTATCCGTATGCTTTTATGATCCTGGGAAAGAAGGGAAGGACACGGCTTGTTTCTACACTCCGTAAGCCGCTTACATCCGCATCAACTTCAATAAGTGTCTATGCCGTTTCCGTAAAAAAAAGCTCTTTACGTTTTTAACTCTTTAGGAAAACCCATGTCGACTTGTTCTTTTTGTGACCGTATAAAATATATAAGTTTTCCACTAAAGACCGTTATTTTATATTCATAATATTGGCATTCTTCTTGACTATGCTTTTATTACCGTTATAAAATCGATCGTCCTTTTTTGAGGGTATTTGCTTATTCGTGACGTTTACAAACAGAAGATATGATTTTATATAAAAAAAAAACTCTTGGTACGCTAAATTATAGCTCATTTGTACTCCAAAAAGCGGGAAATATAACTAAGCGGAATAGCGGTCCCTCGATTTTTTTCTGGGCCCACACTTTTACCACAGCCATGGAAACAAACGAAATAGCCGACCGCAGTACAGGTGGGATGGCTTTCGATGACAACCGCCATGGCTTTCAGTATAACTCTGGAGGAAAGCTCGGGAGTGTTTGAGATACTGCACATGTCAACGCCGGAAACGATTTAACAATCTCGGGCTGTTTGTCTTCCAGTATGTTTGCGCTAATTATTTTCATAATTGTTCCCCACCTTTTCAATTGTTTTGTATCGCTTTTGTTTGAGTTTCCGAGATCATTCAAGTAGTTACTAGCGGTGAAAATATCAGCGGGTCAGAATGAAAAGAGTGGGAATTTCTAATTAGTCCCGATTTTGAAACTGAAGCAGGCGAAGTCCCCGAGGCGAAGTCTGCTCAAAACATTTCACCGGCCTTTTGGTGCTCGAACTTCTGACTGCTGTTGTTGTTTTCAGTTAAGATTTTCGTCGACATTTCTTCATATCTTTGTGCCGTTGAGCTTCATTCCACTCTCTTCCTTTCCCTCAGTCGCTCCTTCTCTCTCTCTCTCTCCTCTCTCTCGCTCTCTCTATCACTCTCGCTCTCTCTACCTCTCTCGCTCTCTCTATCTCTCTCGCTCTCTCTCTCTCTCTCTCTCTCTCTCTCTCTCTCTCTCTCTCTCTCTCTCTCTCACACACACACACTCTTGCATGTGTCTATCATGATAAAATTCGCCTGTACATCTGAGAGGAAAAACTGTATAAAAAATAAGTTATGGCCACAACGCGCGTCCAAGACTTCGTCAGGCAAGTTGTAATTACTTAGAAAACTAAAGACATAAAAGATTCCCTAAAGAAATTTCATTTGTGTCACACTGCCTGGATCTAAAAAAAAAATAGATAAATAAAAACACAAGGATTTTTTTCTTTCTTTCTTTCCTTCTTCCCCACTAGCTGACTATCTCGCCTCAAAGTGAGTCTTCAGAAATCTTATGACGACTGACCATAAGACGTTTAGACACGCTGCAACACACGCGTCTGATCAACTTTAGACCGGAATCGATTTAATCCCATGTGACGTTCGTGATGCCACAAAACGCCCTGAACATAAATGCACAAGGAAAAATAATATTAATGATAATAACAACAATAAGAGGGAGGGAGGGAGGGAGAGGAAGAGGGAGGGGGAGAGAGAGACAGAGAGACAAAGACAGAGAGAGAGAGAGAGAGAGAGAGAGAGAAATCTTAAATGAATGAATGAGTGAGTGTGAGTGTGAGTGTGTGAGAGAGAGAGAGAAAATCTGAAATGAATGAGTGAGTGAGTGAGTGAGTGAGAGAGAGAGAGAGTGAGAGAATCTGAAATGAATGAGTGAGTGAGCGTGAGTGAGTGAGTGAGAGCGAGAGAGAGCGCACGCGCGCGCACGCACGCACGCACACACACACACGCACACACACAGTGAGCGTGAGTGAGTGAGTGAGTGAGAGAGAGAGAGAGAGAGTGCACACACACGCACGCGCGCACACGCACGCACGCACACACACACACACACACACACACACACACACACATATACACATATATAATACGATGCTCGCATCGGTATACATAAATGCACTGGAATAGCATGCTGGAGGTAAAACAGAGACATTTGCAGTGTCAGCAATTATAATTACTCCTTCATCACAAATAAACAGATTCATCGAAGCTCTAATATCAAACCAATTTACACAGAAATTCATATACGGTCTGTCGTTGTAAATGACAGAACATTTTCCAAGTCAATGTAGCCTGATCCCCCCCCACCTCCTAAAAAATAAAAAAAACTGCCAATCTGCAGATCCGGTAATTCAATCAACGTCATGGAATGATGAAAGACACATACTTTGCCTACTGGTTATCTCGTTAACTATTCAGACTCGGGACTCAACTTATGGCTTGGAGATTCTATTAAGCGATAGACGATATCCCGAGAAACTTTAGAAACTCCACTTAATATTCATGAGCAAAATCTATACCGGTCTATCATTGGTGACAAAAGCCGATGATGGATTTCCGTTCTATCGCTTTGTAAAAAAAGAAAAAAAAAGTAAAGAAAAAAAAAATCCTCAGTACAAAAAAATGGACTATGGCAATATTTAAAAGAATGAAAGAAAAAGAAAAAACGAAAAATCAAATTGACTTTTGATTATCTCGCTGCAGATTCATCAAGCAGAATATTACACCGAAATAATAAATTTGCAGAGCGTAATGCATTCTTTCTGTTCATCGCTGCAACAAATCAAGAATGAGAAGCCGTGGTAAATCCTACAGCGCACCTATTCCTCCGCTGCGAATAGTTATTCAGTTTTAATATGATTCTGACCTGGAAGATAATGAACCCTTTGCACGCACTGCATTTAATCCGAGAACAGTGAACACTTGTTCTTTCCTCTTTCATACCTCCATATGAAACAATATACAAACAAATGAACCCTCAACTTAAGAGCAGCCGGGCGGGTCCATCTCGGAAATGGAGCATTTAAGGAAATTTCGGCACATTTCATTGCCTTCGTTGACTTGGTCCTTCTATGTGTATTGTACACGCTGCAGTCCCCCCTGTTCTTAGCCATTAAGCATCCCCGTTCTCCCACGTGCAGAATCGCTTACAATCAAAATCTTGTGAATCAATATCTTCCGCCAATCACAAGAAGCATCTTCCGCGGTCTCCGTCACAATCTCTCTCAACATCTATCTCCTCCAATAAACTGTCTCAGCTCCTTCCATCATCCGTCCTCATTTTCCCTCTCTTATCGACTTTCTTTTCTGGGTTATCTGTTCCCCCTTCCCGGTGTCACCCGATCAATCACCCCGCGGACTCAGGATGCTCCTCCTCCTCCTCCTCCTCCTAGTCCTCGTCCTTCACCTTCTTCATCTCCTCCATTCTCCGATTTCATGTTCTTTCGGGCCACCTTTGTCTTTATCATTTGCCTCTGCGCCCGCCCGACTCTGCCATTAGGAATGTATGTTTCAGCTGTTCCCCTTTCCCTCCGCCCATTAATCCGTCTTCCCTTCCTCACACCTCCCTCAGAGTTGGCCGGGGTGCCTGAGGGAAGTACAGCCGCCCGGGGCCTCCGCACACGCTGATGGAGCTAATAGAAGCCACTTAGCTCACAAGATGCAAGATCCCGCCTTGAGCCGGGGAAGGCGCGGGAGGAGGAGTGCTCAGGGCCACGAGGGAGACGTGGCCTTTCGCGTCCTCCTCTCGACGCTGCTGGCGGTAAGTGACCACGACGGGCGGAGAGAGAGACCAAGATTTATTGTGAGTACGGTGCATGGGCGAGCTGGAGATGGAGGGAGCAAGAAGGGCAGCAAGAAAGAACAAAAGAGAAGAAAAAGATACACATTAAGAGAAAAAGGAAGCGCGTAACGATAAGGACGAGAGACGCAGGAGAGGATAAGGAGCGTGGAGGAGATAGGCAGTAGGATAAAGGATTGCCAAAAAGCTATGTGATCCAGCCTCCTTGTCTGATCTTGGTCGGGATGTAGGAGGACGTGAGGTAGTCGTGCGCTATGTGAGTCAGGCTCTGGATCTCCGCTTTGTAGCCTGATTTCTGCTGCTCGTGAATCTGACAGGGGGAGGGAGAAACGTGATGCATTAGGATCTGATTTGGAATTACTAAAGAGTTTTTGTCCAGACATAAGCGTCATATGCTCCAGGACTAAATCAGATTTTGACGTCAACACCTCCCCGCCTCTCTCGCATGCACCAGCCGCTGCCTCACCTGGTGCAGCCACGTCGGGCACTTCGAGACAAGCGGGTGGGCAGCGAGCGTAGCCAGCTTCCCGTGGTCCGTGGGCGTGAGGGGCAAGAGGGCGTGGGCGGGCAGCTGAAGCGCCGGCAGGTCAGACGGCAGCACGCCCAACCACGCCAGACTCCGCACGGAGAGGCCGGGCTCCTCGCGGGCCTGGCGGTGAATTTTTAAGCGAACGGGATAACTTGGATTTCACCGCAGGCGAGGCAATTAGCTGGAAAATGTCTATCAACGAAGTTTGTTTGGCAGACGTGTGTGTGTGTGTGTGTGTGTGTGTGTGTGTGTGTGTGTGTGTGTGTGTGTGTGTGTGTGTGTGTGTGAGTGTGAGTGTGAGTGTGAGTGTGCGTGTGCGTGTGTGTGTGCGCGTGCGTGCGCGTGCGTGCGTGTGTGCGTGCGTGTGTGCGTGCGCGCGTGTGTGTGTGTGTGTGTGTGTGTGTGTGTGTGTGTGTGTGTGTGTGTGTGTGTGTGTGTGTGTGTGTGTGTGTGTGTGTGTGTGTGAGTGCGCCCGCGCTCTGTTGATGTGTAGATGCGTGTGTACTTGTACTCGTGCGCGCGTGCTTTTATGCTTGCGAGCGTGCGTGAGTAATAACATTTACAAAAGCCATGTAACACATTTATAAATCCAATGCAGCCAAATCCCCCCCATGGTCTCGCAGGGAAAAATAGAACAGATAAACAAACAAATAAAATCCACATAAAACATGCAAATCCAACATAAAAAGAATCGAACCAACGGATGGAATTTGTTGGTAATTGAGGGAGGGAGGGAGGGAGGGAAGGGAGGGAGGGAGGGAAAGGGGAGGGAAGGGAGGGAGGGAGGGAAGAGGGGAGGGAAGGAAGGGAGGGAAGAGGGGAAGGAAGGGAGGGAGGGAGGGAGGGAAGAGGGGAAGGAAGGGAGGGAGGGAGGGAAGGGGAGGGAAGGGAGGAAAGGGGAAGGAAGGGAGGGAGGGAGGGAAGAGGGGAAGGAAGGGAGGGAGTGAGGGAAAGGAAGGGAGGAGGGAGGGAGGGAGGGAAGAGGGGAAGGAAGGGAGGGAGGGAAGGAAGGGAGGGAGGAAGGGAAGGAGGGAAAGGGGAAGGAAGGGAGGGAGGGAGGGAAGAGGGGAAGGAAGGAAGGGAGGGAAGGAAGGAAGAAGGGAAGGAGGGAGGGAAAGGGGAAGGAAGGGAGGGAGGGAGGGAAAGGGGAAGAAAGGGAGGGAAAGGGGAAGGAAGGAAGGGAGGGAGGGAAAGGGGAAGGAAGAAGGAAGGGAGGGAGGGAGGGAGGGAGGGAAGGGGAAGGAAAGGAGGGAGGGAAAGGGAAGGAAGAGGGGGGAGGGAGGAAAGGGAAAGGGAAGAAGGGAGGAACGGAGGGAGGAAGGGAGTGAGTAAAAGGAGGGGAGAGAGGGAGGGGAAGGACGAGTAAGGAAAGGAAATGTGGAGATAACGAAGGGAAGGAAGAGAACACGGAAAAAGAAAGAAGGAATGGCAAAGGAGGGAAAGGTGAGGGAGAAAGAGGGGTAGAGAGAGAAAGGAGGAACGTGGGGAAGCGAGAGGAGAGAAGGATAAAAAAGTGGGGAGATGGGGGAAAGTAAGAAAGGAAGGGAAGGGAGGGTGGAAAGGGACGCGAGAGGGAAGAGAGTAAAGAGAGAGATGGATGGAAAGAGGAGGATGGGTGGAAAGGAGGAAGAAGAGAAAGGAGGAATAAGGGGAGGAGGAGAGGAAGGAGAGGTGGAGGCAGGGAAAGGTCTCGGCCATCAGGCGTGGCCTCTATGATCGGTCTCCATGCTGATTATGGCTTTAATTCTGCACTTTCTGAGAGGAAATATGAGAAGGGCGACGCACCCTGGCCCTGGCGGCTGCAGCAGCCCCTGCCCCCTCCTCTTCGCAGGGAAAGGGGGTCGACTCGTGCAGAAGGGAAGGGGAGTCCGAAACCGTCCAGCTCAACACTGCTAAAAGGGAATAACTTGCCATAGAAGGGAAGGCCACTCTAATGGGATGAATGCCCTTGCCATAGGGAGAGGGGCGTCCGCCATAGCAGGTGGGAGAACCCCTCTTATGGAAGAGGTCCTTCTGGCACAGGAGGGAGTTCTTGCCATGGAAGAAGGGTTTAACTGTCAAATAAGGGGACCCCTTCCATAGACGAAAACCCCTGCCATGAAAGTAGAGAGCCATTGCCATGGAAGGGGAGATTCCTAGCAAAGGGAGAGAGATCCTG